AGGGGGGGGGAGAAGAAATGGAATAAATGAATATCCACCTTCACATTCACCTTCACCTATCCCGTAGAACTTAACAGAGAAAAAAAGAGGGGGGAGGGAGGTCTAAGTGATGGAATTGATGAGCACAACAGAGGAGAAAAAAAACCCAACTGCAAAAGCATGGGGATGTATGGCTTAAACAACAATTATTGTATAATGCTGACTTAAATTGGGAATCCCCACTTGAAAAACCATTACTCCGCAGGGCCGGTTAACCATGCATGTCTGAACATGTTAAAAATCTGACGCTTCTCAATCTTTTCAGAGAGAAACGAAACAAAGCTACAGCAATAATCGTTGAACAGGGAGCAAACAGCGAGGAAATAGGGTCCATGTTAATACTTGATGATACACGTACAACGAACGCGCCTACTTGTGCGCGTGAAGTCGATGGATTATAGGAAGAATTATTCAAGGGAACAGCACTACAGGGAGATGGATGTACAGATGTGTTTTTAATGAAAGTATTGGGTGAGCTCTTTTGTTTGTTTGTTTTGAAAATGAGGTGGTATTGTCTTTCTCTGATTTAATTTGTTGTGCTAAGATTTATTGCTTTGTTTGTTTTTATGTGTGTTTGTGCGTGAGTGATTGAGTGAGTGTGCGTAAGTGATTGAGTGAGTGTGCGTGCGCGCGTCTTTGTGTGTGAATGTGGGTGATTGTGTGTGTTTGTGTGTGTATTTGTGTATGTGTCCACTAGTATGAGTGTGCAATCGTGTATACATGTGTATGGCGCAATGATGGAGTAATAAATTACTTGTTGACCTTAGTTTACCCGTTTATTGTCTATTATTCAAAAGTGTATAGCTATTCTCAGCCTGTCTGTCTGTTTGTCGGCCTGTGCGAATATATGTCTGTCTATCTGTCTATATGTCTGTCTGCCTGTCTGTCTGTTTGGCTGACTGGCTGGACGTCTGACATGCTGTGGGCATAGGTGTCTCTTTGTCTCTCTGTCTCTCTCTCTCTCTCTTTCTCTCTCTCTCTCTCTTTATCTCTGATCTTTCCCTGTCGTTTCTAATCTGTACATTTATAGATCACTTTCTCCATCCATACCTTCATTACGCTAACTACATTATTTCTCTTTTGCTATCTCCCACCCCTCTCCAACTTACATTTACTTTCTCATTCAGTCACTTTCTTTCTCTATCTCATCTTTACTTTGGGGTAGACCAGATGACAAGGACATGTGGTTACTTGAGCGAAATGCTTACTGCTAAAGGGATTTGAAACAACTACAACAACATTCTCTATCTCGTTGTGTCTCTAATCTCCTT